GCGGGGCGGAGCGCTGCGGGGCGGAGCGCTGCGGGGCGGAGCGTTGGGGGGCGGAGCGCTGAGGGGCGGAGCGCTGCGGGGAGGAGCGCTGCGGGGCGGAGCGTTGGGGGGCGGAGCAGAGACGGAGGATGAGGGATTTCTGGGAAACAGGAGAAGCGGTGCAACTGACGTTTAGTCACTGTCCACACGCGGTAATTTATAAATGTTTTAAATCAGGTTGGGACTGGATTAGCCAGCAGGTGGATCCGGATCCGGATCCAGTCCGCTAATCTGTGACCTCTGCATTAAACCGAAGCCAAGAGGAACGAGTAACGATTGTTTTAAAAATGTAAGGAATAGAAAGTAGAGATACTGGTGTGAAAATGTAATGAGTAGAAGAAGAAGGAGGAAGAAAAATAAGTAATGGAGTAAAGTATAGATACCTTAAAAGTGTACTTAAGTACAGTAATGAAGTATTTGTTCTTGGTTACTTGACACCTCCGTTTATTCCTAGATGGTTTTTGCAGCGTATAAAGTGCCTTGAAGTTGACCGTATAGAAATAAACTGAATTTATTAAATATAATGATAAAAACCAGCTGATATAAATGAGTCTGTCAAACAGAACAAAGCCTGGATCTCCTCGTTCCTTTGTTGCCATTTTCTCCAGCTGGTTCTGATGGTTTATAACCATCCACGCTCTGATGTTGGCGTGCCCCGGTCGGCCATTGAACTCTGTGCCCCCCCCCGCTTCCTGTGGTGGCCAAAGAGCAGCTGGTAGTGAAACATTCAATAACAAGTGCTGAGTGCTGCAGTCAGCAATGAATAAACTGATGAGTCTCGCTTCCAAAGTGAAGAAGTTCTCATCATTTTCTCTCCTTATCCTTCAGCAGACGTCCCTGCAGCCTCCGCTGCTCTCCCATGGATCCTGCTGTCAGGTCCGCTAGAAACAACATGCAGTTAACCCTTCAGATGCTGACTCTGTGGCACTGATGGCGTCAGGTTGAGGTTCTAAGTGTGTGAATCCAGCCCTGCAGAGCTGCTCTGGAGATAAATCACCTTTCATGGAGCATCCGTTCTCATGACACATGTCAGCTTCATATAGATTACTACTTATTATCTTACATTTTGTTTAAAAGTAGCTTTCAGGAAACCCAAGAACAAACACTCAATAATACAGGATATTAAAACAGTCTGCAGCCTGAACAGATGAGCCTTCATTTAAACAGATATAAAGTATCTGTATTATGAATATCAGGTGGGAGTGAACTCCAGAGTTTGGGAGCAGAGAAGGAGAAAACTTTGCTCCTCATGGGGACCAGGAGGACAGGAGGCCTAAGGTCTGGTTTGGAGAGCAAGATTATGCATAACCTTACTGTGATGTGTTCATGCAACTCTTTGCTGTTTAATGTCTCCACTGAGGGCCCTGCAGCATTAGAACAGTAGGCTGCTATCGACCACCACATGAGAACCGTTTACTGATTTCTGACTCAAATAGATCTGCTCTGCTCGCCAGTGATTTATTTAAGCAGCGAAATATCAAGCAGTTCATTCCTTATTTCACACTGAGCGACACATTACTGTAAAACCTGACTAAAGCTTTTATTGGTAACGCTGGTAATCTGCACTTAAACTGCCAGATTATCTCTCTAAGATTTGATGCTTGCCGGCTCACCCTCCTTTCAAAGGAAAAGTCGCTCATATTCAGAATCCAAACTTCTGAAAGTTCTTTAAATCTGAAATGATTCCATCCTGTTCAATAAATGATCAGTGTTTTTAATTCAGAGTAATTTCCATGTGAATGTGCTTTACTGGAGGCATCCATGTTTGTCAAAGAACACTACTGCCACCTACTGGTTAGTGACATTGTCACGGTGCGGTATCGGCTGTTGATCAAGTCCCAGTGCTGTATCTGGTGTTTGTCACAACGCGCTATTATCCAAGTCATCTTGAAAACATTCTTCTTCCAAATGTTGGCTACATATTACGGGTTTTTTCTCTGGCCAGAAGTTCGATGGCAAATCCTCCCTCTTCAAGTTGGCGATCCAACGACCAACCCGTCCGTGGAGGATCAGGAATCAGGAAGGTGGAATAACTCTTTTTTTCACTTTTCCCCGATGTATTCCAGCATCCAGCTGCCATGCACGTGGGCATTGTCAGTTTCACTATAGCTCTGGTGAATTTCAATGGTGAAGTCCTCTGGAAATCTTCAATAATTGTTGTTGATTGCAGATGTGTCTAGTAGTTCCCATTGATTTAGCTTGGAAAGCGGGGAGAATGGCGCTAGGCTTACCGCACCGTGACGTCACTGCTGGAAGATGGCAGGAGGGAGGGGCTACTATATTTGGGCAAAGATGGCCGCTCCCAGACTCAGTGATCGCGATGGAAATTATTTATATTTTTTTTACTGATTAACACTAAATTCATTAAGTCACGGCGAACGTATTAGTTTTAGGTATAAATAATGATCCTAATATTCATTGCTGACCGGACTTTTCCTTCAAAAAGAAGCACATTGGGTCTTTATTCACCTGCAGCAGGTTGTGTTGATTAAGATGTTGAAACCAGAGCCTGACTGAGTCACTTTAACACATTCAGAGCTGAGATGTTTTACTATATGAAGTAAAACTAGGGACTGATTAAAGGACATGAGCCTAAAAACAACAAAGAAAGGATAAAAACAAACCCACAGGACCAATCACTGCGTATTCAGAATGTCATCTGAGCTCTTCCTTTTCTAACACAAAGCAACCAGTGTAACCAGACCTACCAGGAGGACTCCAGCCTTGATGCGGGGGTCAAAGGGCAACAGGAATTCATTGGGCAGATTGCTGTTCCTGAGGAGCTCCTGCAGCCTTTGTGGAGCTGAGAAAAGACACAAATGAAGACACAGATTCATTTTAGAGATGAACGTCCCGGTAAAACGCTGCATGCCTTAGAAACACCTGCTGACCTAATGGGCCAAACAAGAGGAGAGATCATCTCTGCTGTGCAGCAGGTGTGCAGCAGGGATTCACCTGAGAGGAGACGGCATTTTGTTTCCCTCTCAATATTAAGAAGTTAAGACAAATATCTGGAAAAGGTACAGCTTAATAAGAACTTCAGTTTATTTATAGTCTGACAGACAGATAGTCTGATCATAAAATGTTTTATATATCAGAACATTAGATTTAGATTAGATTAGGTTTAAACATTTCCTGCAATGTAAGGCGGTAAAGAACAGAGTCTATCCTGTCATCCTGGGAGGAGCAGAGAGGAGCAGTGGGAGGTTCCAGTGGGACAGCCCTGCTGGGACCCACTGGGAGAGCAGCCAGGTCACGGTGCTGCCAGGTCCGAGTTAAAAAGGACCAGACCCATTTAGGAAAGTAAAAACCCAGAACTTAAAGAGGTTTTATTTGATTTCATCTTCATGTTCAAATCTCACAGCATGAGACCTTCCTCCTGCCACATAAGGAAATGAACACAAGAGAAAAAGCTGCTGTGCATCATAGGCTCATTTATGGCTGTTTGATCATTTTCAGCCAGTAAGGTTCAGAAAAGAGGAAACAAAGATAAAAGAATATTTATCTCTTAGTTTAACTGCATTAGATTCACTCAAACTCTTATAAGATCAGCCTTTCAAACCAAACTATATGTGTTTTTATTTTATATAAACTGGAAACATTTTCAATTCAGAATTATTTATCTTTCCATATTTTATTGAGTCCTCAGAGTATTTAAAGAAACATTGTCTGATTTTCTAACCTAATGATCAAACTGCACTGTCTAG